TCCCATAATATACTCCTGGAAAAGCTGCAGCCCATGGCTTGGACAGGGGCACTCTGTGCTGGGTCAGGAACTGGCTGGAGGGCCGGGCCCAGAGAGTGCTGGTGAACGGGGCTGCATCCAGCTGGCAGCCGGTCACCAGTGGTGTTCCCCAGGGATCAGTGCTGGGCCCAGTCCTGTTTAACATCTTTACTGATGATTTAGATGAGGGGATTGAGTCCATCATCAGCAGATTTGCAGATGACACCAAGTTGGGAGGGAGTGTCGACCTGCTGAAAGGCAGGAGGGCTCTGCAGAGGGACCTGGATAGGCTGGAGAGTTGGGCTGATTCCAGCGGGATGAAGTTCAACAAGGCCAAGTGCCGGGTCCTGCACTTTGGCCACAACAACCCCCTGCAGCGCTACAGGCTGGGCACAGAGTGGCTGGAGAGCAGCCAGGCAGAAAGGGATCTGGGGGTGCTGATTGACAGGAGGCTGAACATGAGCCAGCAGTGTGCCCAGGTGGCCAAGAAGGCCAATGGCATCCTGGCCTGGATCAGGAACAGTGTGGCCAGCAGGAGCAGGGAAGTGATCCTTCCCTGTACTCAGCACTGGTGAGGCCACACCTTGAGTATTGTGTTCAGCTCTGGGCCCCTCAGTTCAGGAAGGACATTGAGGTGCTGGAGCAGGTCCAGAGAAGAGCAACGAGGCTGGTGAAGGGACTTGAGCACAAGTCCTGTGAGGAGAGGCTGAGGGAGCTGGGGTTGTTTAGTCTGGAGAAGAGGAGGCTCAGGGGTGACCTCATCACTCTCTACAACTCCCTGAAAGGAAGTTGTAGCCAGGTGGGGGTTGGTCTCTTCTCCCAGGCAATCAGCAGTAGGACAAGAGGGCATGGGCTTGAGCTCTGTCAGGGGAGGTTTAGGTTGGATATTAGAAAGAAGTTCTTTACAGAGAGAGTGATCAGGCATTGGAATGGCCTGCCCAGAGAGGTGGTGGATTCACTGTCCCTGGAGGTTTTTAAGATGAAGCTGGATGTGGCACTGAGTGCCATGATCTAGTAATCACAGTGGGGTTGGATCAAGGGTTGGACTTGATGATCTCAAAGGTCTCTTCCAACCCAGTTAATTTTATGATTCTATGATTCTTATTGCCACAGATGAATCCAGTGCCAGAGGGCTAAGAAGACTCTCCTGTAGATCGGGAAAGAACAGGTAAGCCTCTGTTATGAAGAACTTATATTACTGTGGTGTGACAAGGTCCCAGACAAGATTGGTGCAAGGTGGGTATTGCATTGCAGGAATGTGTAGGCTTATAGCCTCAGTAGGCCAGTCAAACACAAGTATGAGATTCTTCTGTTGAGTTTTGGAGGGCTGAAGTCATTGCATAGTGTCATACATTCATGCATTTCTTTTAGAAGCTTTCTTGTCACCTCTGAAGGCTGCGAAGTGGTCCTGCCCTATGGCATCCATTTCTGCTTTCCACCGGGGGCTGCCTCTGATACTCTGCGGATCAGCTTCCGAATCCTCGAACCGGACCCTCAGTGGGTAAAGCTTAGACACCACGATGTCTTGCTGAGTAGGGTCCTGGAGCTGCAGCCTCATGGGATCAAATTCCAGCAGGTGAGGACACATCTAGGTCACCTCCTGATAAATCTGCCTTTGCAGCAGCTCATCAGGGCCTTCTGAGAGAGCCTTTTGGGACTTTTGAGACACCTACCCCCATAACTGCTGCTTTTAAATATCTACAGGACTGCCTTTCAAAGACAGGCACTGCAAAGACTCAGAAAGGACACAGCCAGCTTCTCTGGTGCTGTGCTGGCCTGGTGCCTTTGCCTTCCCCACTGCTCCTCATTCAGCTGAGCTGTAACCTTTCTCACTCACAACCCTCCTGCTGTGCCAGAGGATAAGTGCTGTTCCAGTATCTGGCCTTAGCTTGCAAAGAGAATGGTTTGCATCCTTCTATAAGTGTCTGATTGTGTGGTTTTCATTCAAGCTGGCGAGTAGTTACACCCCCAGCCCCATTGTGGCTAACAGCAGCTCACTGCAGAAGTTGCTTTGCCCCTTCTGCCCAGAAGCTGCTGAAATTTTCCTGCTGCCTCACTCCAAAGCAGACCTGACATCTCCTGTCACCTCCCCAGAGACTGCCGGGTAGAGCAGATTCCTGCACTCCCTGCATACGGGTTGTGCTTCACCTTCCCCCTTCTTGTTTGCACAGGAAGTAGAGCTGGGCTTTGTTTTATGCTTTCTACTCGTGTCTCACAGGAATGTTTTTTTGCCAGGAGGTGCAGATATGGATTCCATTTGTCCCACCTCAAATCCTTCACCAGAATGAGGTGGTAGTTCGGACCTTCAGTGGGCAGAGCTGGAGTGATCTGAGAACGAGAGTGGAGCAGAAGAGGGGATCAATGGTGAGCAGATTGAAATGACCAGTGACACACATTGGTGCTCTTTGGTTTTGCCCAGCCAAGAGTGAGCCCATTTGAAACACCTGACAAGCTGTATTTTGACCAGCTGTTATAAAATGTAGTGGATTTCAGCTCCAGGTTTCCTCTCTCGTGGAGTTTTGTCTCCTGAAAGTGGTGAGTTGCAGCCTGCCATGCTTCATCCCTGTTCTAGTGCTTTCATCTTCTTTGCTGATACTGGTCCTTATTTCCATGCCTTTATTGTACTAAATTGT